GTGCTGAACTGTTAGCTAAATGTTTTAACAGTAAATGACCGTGCCAACAGGGATTGCTCACCCAAATACTGAGATCAGAGATTGTTTTTTTTTTTTTTTTTTTTATCTATATTTCGGTTTGATTCATGTTACTGCTGCAAAAAGCACAATTTCTAAAGGCTATTTCCACGTATTTACTGGCTGTATGTATAAAAGTATACGCTAAGTGCATAAAAACATTTTGTTTAACAGCTTTAATAATAAGAGTAACAAAACTGAACTTAAATTGAGTGCACTAAAGAAATAAGCAAAAAAGGTTCAAGCATCATTTTATGTTATTACTATTCATTTTATGCTATTTATGTTATTATTTTTTACAAGAAAACAGATACGGTTATAATACAGTTCTTAAATGAGGATACATTTTTTGGTAATTATTAAACTTTAATCAGGATGAAAATGACATAAGACTAGATCTGGAGTCTGCAAACTTTCGTATCCAAGAACCATTCTATATGACATTACTTTTTAATAAATCCTAACCCATTATTTTTGTTAATTATATGCCGTAGAACACCTGTTACAATCTTAATCAACCAATAGATTATTGGTACTTTTAGCTTTTAAAATATGGAAAACCATAAATCGATTTATAATAATGAAGCATGGATGTTCTTCTATCAGAAGAATAACTTTATTTATCCCTACGGGAAAATTTTTTGTTGCTGTGCAACTGTTTACAAAAGAGAAAAATAAGGTTGTAAAGAAAATAGAGAAAAGTAAAATGTAGTATAATAAAATAATAATAATATGATAATAAAAAAGTAAAAATAGTCAAATTACAACCCACATAGTAAAATTAAACCCTTTCCATATAAAAACTGTAAAATAAGATATAACAATAAAATAAGGTTCTCATTATATACATATTATCGACAGTATTAACAATTTAAAATGCTGCTCAGAACCAAGATACTATTACTGCACATGACTGTGTTGTTGCAAATAGTGAAGTAATGAAATATATAAATAATAAGTAATGAAATAAAATGACTGTCAGAGAGATAATTTAAACAGTTTGATGACCACATGCAGGAATGAGTTCCTGTAGAGCTCTGTGGTGCAGCGATATGAAATGAGTCTCTGACTGAAGGTGCTTCTGTGGGCGTCCAGCACATCTTGAAGAGGATGTGCAGAATTGTTCAGCATGGATTTGATCCTACATTCTGCAGTCAGAGAGTCCAGCTCCTCTCCAACAACATATTATTTGATGTAAAAAAAAAAAAAAAACAATGGAGCACATAATTTCTAAGTGAATTTAAAGAAAAATTGCTCAATAAAACATATTTCTGGTTCTTTTAATGTCATTCTGTTGAAATATTCTTATTAAAAACCACTAAAGTGCTGTTTTTTTTCCTTTCTTTTTTTCCTTTTTCTTTCTTGTTGGGGATAAAAAAAAAGGCTGAAACTGCTGGATTGTAATTTGTAATTATGAGATTTTTACTTTGGTCATATATATATATATATATATATATATA